TACCTGTATCAAGTGTTATCCACATGGTTTAACTAATTCACATCTCAAATAATAATTGTGAATTCCAGAGTGATGATAATGGGGCTGTGGCAAGTGATGTTGGGGTTTCCTCTATTTCAACACTAGAGGGCGTGTTTCGAGTTGTAGGTTGTATAGTAGTCTGAATACATCTGGAAATCGCCTGCATTTGACCACTGTTAGTATTTACATAATAAATGAGGCTGTCACAATTTGTAATTATGTTACGTACAACAAAGTTTGTAAATACTTCTCGACTATTAGCCTGATGCATAATTAATTTATGAGACTGTTTGCAAGCAATAACAGCATCAATAAATTATTCCTCGTACTGGACAATTAATATATACTCCTAAAAAGTGCTAGTGTGTGAACATTTAGTGGTTATAGACAACGGCCTTATTATCCCTGGCACAGGCAGTGGTTACCAGCATCTGTATGTCTGTCAATGGTACATATGTTTGTGGGTATGGAGTCATCACTAACAAAAATCAACATTTACGCATTTTGAAATTTGGTGTGATCATACTGTTCTGGGGAGGACAAAATGTGTAAATTGCCGGCTAATTTGCAAACTTTGTGCAGTGTTTGCTATATCCGAATATAGTAGCTAGTACACCACAGCCTTTCATTAAAAACTGTGTCCACACCTAATGTAACAATGCCAGGGATCTTTCCTTATCTAATGCCTTTCTTTTTAATGTAGTCTGAAATATTAGTGATTTTTAAAATGATCAATATTAATACCTGAAAACAAGGTTTTAAGTTTTTAAATGTATACCACATGAGGGCGCTATATTGTTTTATTCTATTGTGTTGCAATAAGCAATTTACTCGCTATATTGCAATTACGGTATTCCTAAAAAAGACAGAATCTGTAATTTTATAAGGCAGCATTTATATTTAATTGAATGTTTTGTTTGCACAATGACTGCCACTATAGACTCGTCATCTCATTTGCAACATGGCAACGTTCACCCTGGGAATGAATATTGTTGACTGACACTACATACAGTGAAAATCAGTGCAGTTTAACAATTGAACTGTGATACAGTTTGTATTTTTAATTAAATGACCAAAAATAAAGTAGTGTCCAGCTGCTCACAATATGATGGATCATGAGAACTTTATTTTTTCACTTTGATAATATATAATAATAATAGACATGTTTTATTGTTTTATTACAAACCTTGAACATTGATACATGTCGTATCAGAAGTTCTTAGTACCAGCCTCGCTATCAACAAGATGAGACTTTAATGGGATCTTGACATGATGTCACCATACAGAACTATTTAACAATCTACCGTACCATTTCTAAGTAATGATTAGTTTGGAGGATTACATTATCTTGTATTTTTTTAAAGTGTAAATAGAAAATTATTTATTATAGTATGTGTCTTATAGACAAATAAAAATTATGTGATAAATGAGAAAATAAAGTGACTTTTTTGGTGATGGTGAATATGATCCTGTCTAATCTTTTACAATGACTATGATTACAATGACTATGATTACAATGACTATGATTACAATGACTAGATATGCTTTGATATGTTATATGTAGGTGTCTTTGGTTGGCATTTATCAGGTTTGTGATGGTAGCTTTAATCATCAGTAGGTGACTATGACTCCGAAAACTGTCACAACACTTGGGATTTTGAATGCACATCATTACTCGTATATTTTGACAGTGCCTTCTAATAAATTGACAGTAGAGCTTAGGTAAGAAAGTTCATTACTTGAGGAGAATTTGACACCGCTGTATAATAATGTAAAATTCCCTAATTGTACCCCCCCCCCCCATCCCCTCATGGTAGACATTGATATGTGCATCTGTACTCTCTCTCTCTCTCTCTCTCTCTATATATATATATATATAAATTGTGGGAAGAAGTCATGTGACCTCATCAAGATCATATAATTAAATAACAAAGAGTGAAAAAATATTCTATATCCAAAGTGTTACAAAAGTTGTTAATGCAGACAAATTACCACCTTTGGGGCATTTTACTTAGTAGAAAATATGTTTAATAACAGTTAAATTAGGTCTAGTTGGGACATTACTTGTGTTATAAAGCATTATTTCAGAAATAGAAATAGCATTTGTCAGAATCTTTCTATAATTTAGGATAACCATGTTTCTCTGTATCTGAAAACCAATTTTACCAGAGGAAGCAATGGTTGTATTTTGTGTATGAAAATACATATGACTATACTTTATCTGGAATTTTTAAAAACTGCCTAAAAAATGAGTGTAAATGTCAAGGAAATCTGAAAAGTGTTTTGATTGTAGTCAACTATGATAAGTACATATGGTTTATTATGACCTGATATAGTTGTTCTTGTAACACACATCTAAGGCCAGACTTTTATTATCCCTTGTTTCGAGAACCCGCCGAATGAACAGGAGCTGAGAATGAAATAAAAATATAATTTTATTTCAGTGTAATTTCTCGCGCCCGCCAACTTGTCAGCGCAAAAAAATGCTAAAAAAATATTATTTTTATCTTCATTTTTTTTACAGCCCGCCGCATAACAAATCCAAGTTGCATTTTCGTGGCAGTATGATCAAAGTACCGAAGTCTCGCGCAGATGAAAAACAAGGTTATACATGGAATAACATTTTATTTCATTTCTTCTCTCCGATCAATGATCTCACTTACAATTCTTTGAGAATCACACAAATGCGATGGGAAAAAAAGAGGTAATTTTTTTTTTGCCCTCCTATCAAAAAAATTGCCTTATAAAAACTCGCGAAACAAGGAATAAAAATAGTCTGGCCTAAGCATTCGTTCAATGACACTCCAATACTCATGTGCACATGTTATTTTGCTATGTACAATAACAATCATTCGTATTAGTGGTTTACGAATACTGTTCAATGCGTGTCTTACAAACTCAACATTTTAGTTTATGATAAAACATAGCCTGATTTAATCTACAGTATGTATAGACTATCTAATCGCATCCTTACTATACGTACGTACATGTGTAATCCTTAAAATAACCAGGATTATAAACATGGTTCTCCAAAGATTGTTATATGAGCAGCATTGTAGTGGGCGTGTCCTCACTGTGGTTTATTTCAATCACCACATTTTATTTTGTGAGTTTTTGATTCTAAGAAGAAACGGAGCTATTTCAACCGCCAGATTGATAAGTGGATAAGGTAGATAAATTGATAAGATTTGTAATATTGTACCAGTCTGCAGTATGTCTGCAATGTCGTTGAGGGCGCATTATAAACAACCGAACCAATGTCGCAACTGATATTTGAGCTACATGTGTGTTCAAATTACCTACAGTTCTCTAGATTCTGAATGGATTTGTATCGCGCCCTCTAGTCAATTTATTGAAGGCGGTTTGGGTGGAAGTGTTCATATATTTAATTAACGCATTTTTTATTATTTACCTAACATGTCATAGAAATGTATGCACTTTTCCAGAAAACTGAGATATAGGGAAATTGGACTGCTCAAGCCATTTGCTTTGAAACGTTCGTCAGAGAAAAGGAGAGTGGAGAAATGCTGGTTTCATTCACAGAGCACATTCGTTCATTGTACATTGTCGATGTTCATTTTTTGCAACGTATTCTATAGAATAATACATCTTATTGTTATTGGTACACTCATATTGGTACAAGCAATTATTAGTAAATCATGAGGTAAAGCCTATTAAATTGTTAAAACCTAATTTCTGGGAAATATGTTCCAATCTCCGAGAGGGATCACTAGATCTAAAACTAGAGGGCCGCCACTGCCACTTCAAACGTGTGAACCTATTGAAGAAATGCATACCCATCGTTTATACCAAATAAAGGCCTTTATTTGTCCTATATTTTACTGTGTATATTACCCCCAAGCTTCCTTCGTTTATCCGATTCGCTAATAATTTCAGTAAAAATAAATCAAAGGAGGCTGATATATGATTTATACCTGCCTGGACTATATTAAAAACGAGATGGGCGTGATTGAAACAATTTATTCAAAACAGGTACTAGTACAATGTGCCAGATACTAGTATTTATACCTTGAATTTATATACCTATTTGAACAGTAAATAAGACTCATATGTACATAGAATCTTGAAAATGACCCATGACCCATTTCAGTTGCACGTCCACAATAGGTAATATAGTGTCTATATAGTGCCTACCCCACATCTTGTCACATTAGCTCAAAAAAAAAAAACGACACAGAAACTAACTATATATGGCATAATTGTTAGCGTGGCCGCTCATCATCTACGGGTTCGTATCCTGTGGTCGTCT